AAGATTAAGGACCTGGTCAAGACAAAAAACATTCAGATAGATCTAATTAAAGTTAAAAGTCATAGTAAAAATAAGTGAAATGATCGAGCCGATAGTTTAGCAAAGAAGAGAACAATAAGTAAAAAAATTATACAGGCTGAAAAAGTTAGTTGTAAAGAGATAGAGTACTGTCTAGAGTAGAAAAACAGATGAACTAACATACCAGCCAGACTGCTTTGCAAATTAGTAATGAATACAAGAATAGAAGCAGAGTAAAAAGAAACAAGAGCAGTTAAAAGTTTAGAGCCAGAAGTAGAAATTACAATCTACAATTAGACTTATTTGTAGAAAAAGCTAAAGGTGACTAAGGGAATACATTGCACAACAAGAAGAAGTAGTGTGAGAAAAAGTATTTTTATTAAGTGCATAATAGATAAGCTTTCAACCTTGGAAGAACTCAACAGAAGAAGGCCTGATATATACACAACAGTGGAATGTCAAGTATGCCAAGAAAAAGTAAAAGAGACACAAGCATATTTGGTAACATGCAAGGGGCAAAAAAATCTCTGAAAGAGAATTCAGAAGGTAACCATTGCAACAGCATAGAAGAAACTAAAAGAAGAAGAAAAGATCTGAATTCTTCCACATGTGTTATATATGACGCTCTTTGAAAAAACAGAAACAGAAGAAGTCAAAATAAGAGAAATATTAATAAAAGGCCTAATCCCAAAAGAAACACAAGATAAACTGGCACAGCTCTTAAATTCAAAATCAAGACAGTAATTTGTAAATGCAGTAACAATAACAGCCTGGAATACATTTTATGAACAAGTATGAAGAATATGTTGTGAAAAAATTATCGAATGGGAGAAAAAGGTTAGAATAACAGGTAAAACGAAAAAAAAAAAGATAGGAAGCTAAAGAAACCAAGAAAACGAGAAAAGACAAATTAAGAAAGAATAGAAAGGAAAAAAGAAGAAATAAGAGAAAAGAGAAAGCAAGTTGAGAAGGAAGTAACGAAGACAATGTTGGGGCTTGTCATAGAAGAGAGAAGACCCTTCTATTATGAACTTTAAGTAGTCAAACAAGCAGCTTACTTCTGCTCGAAATAATACAACAGGTTGCACTTAGGTACCAGTAAGATGGCTAGGTGATGCTAAACTTAGATATTAGGGATATTTATATAGTTACAAATGTAATTTCAAAAACTTAATAAAGTACTAGCATAACTGCTTATATGTTTAAAAAAAAAAAAAAAAAATCTTATTAAAAATACTTTTTTTTTTTAATCATTTTAGATATCTTGTGAAAGTAAAAAAAAAAAGTGTTAAGAAGAAACTGCAAAAATAATCTAAATCTGCAACAACTAGTGAACAAATAATAAAATACTTAAAATTATTCTAATTAGTTAAAAAAAAAATATTGAATTATCGATAAAACAAAAAATAAATCTTAAAATTTTTTAAATTTCTATTTAAATGTAGATCGTAGGACATGTCCTGTGACCGATACGTAATAACTTAATACCTTATCTTAATTGTGTCACGATTCAGATAATCTTATAATATCCACCAATAGTATGAATTATTAAAATCAACCAATCAGGAAACCAATAAAGATGGAGACTTAAAAAAAAATATAGATAATCTTCACATTCTTTTTTTTTTAACATATAATTATGGAAAAAAGAGTAAAGGTGCAAAACCCAGTATTTCCGTCACCACGTTCACCAATTCCACCAGTTACAGTTCCTTCTTCAGTTTCGAAGGCTGACATTGTAGTTGGAACTTTGGTTCTGAAGGATGGCTCAAGTTATCAGGGCTTTTCTTTTGGAGCAGAAAGCAAATCGGTGTCAGGAGAATGTGTATTCCAAACTGGTAATGTATTCTTTATTGTAAATGTTTCTCAACGTTTTCTAAGTTTGAAATTTTGAATATTTAAGGCATGGTTGGTTATCCCGAGTCTCTTACCGATCCATCATACCAAGGACAAATTCTTGTTTTAACTTTTCCACTCGTGGGCAATTATGGTGTTCCTTCACGCGATGACATGGAACCTCTTCTCAAAGATATTCCAAAATATTTTGAATCTTGCGAGATACATATTTCGGGTCTAGTAGTTGGACAATATTCTCGAGAATATTCTCATTATCTGGCACAATCTTCGTTATCGGATTGGTTAAAAGAACATGATATCCCAGCTATTTATGGAATTGATACTCGTGCTCTCACAAAAAAGATTCGTACTCAGGGTGTATTTTTGGGTAAGATTCTATTTCCAAAGAGTGTGGTTGGTAACGCCGCCTTGGGTATTTCGACATCGAATGATCTGTCAATTGATGGATTGCTCCATCCGGAACCGTGGATGGCTGATTATCAGGATGTTCCATGGGTCGATCCAAATGAAAGAAATCTCGTGGCAGAAGGTGTTTATTTTATTTCTTAAAGTACTAAAGCCAGCATTAATCCTTTAATTAATTAATTAAAAAAAAAATTTTTTTTTTTTCATAAATCATAAACTAGTTTCTGTCAAAGAACCCAAACTATATGTTCCCGATCCGTTGGAATCTATCACGGATGCAAAAGGTATGACATTACGCATAGTGGCTATCGATGTTGGTATGGTTAGTAAATATACTTACTCTTATTATACGGATAAGTTAAATTGATTTTTGACAAATACTGAAAATTGCGTTAATTAATTAGCATTTCTTTCAATCCAATTTTCAATCAAACTCACTTAATATGTCTCTCCAACTCTAAAGAAATATAACCAAATTCGTTGCTTTGTTAATCGTGGAGTTGAGTTTAAGGTGGTCCCCTGGGATTATGATTTTAATAATGAGAAGGATTATCATGGATTATTTATTAGGCAAGCGTATAATATTATCATTGCATCATTATCCTAAAGTTACTAAAATGAATGTGAATATTCTATTTCATCGATTTAGTAATGGTCCTGGTGACCCGACAATGGTAAAACAAACCGTTGAACGTCTTAAGGTGGCATTGAAGGATGTCAAAACTCCAATTTTTGGGTATGAATACAGATATATATTTATTTATTTATTTATTTATTTTTATGATATTATCAAATAAATCTTTTATCTATTTATTTGTTCATTATTGTATTTATTCATTTACTCTCGATGTTTATAGTATTTGTATGGGCCATCAATTACTTAGTCTTGCTGCTGGCGCCAGAACAAGGAAGATGAAGTATGGTAATAGAGGTCAAAATATTCCTTGTACGGATATGATTTCTGGTCGTTGTTACATTACTTCTCAAAATCATGGTTATGCTGTTGATGCAAGTACACTTCCTCCTAACTTTCAAGAATTATTCGTTAATGCAAATGATGGTTCAAATGAAGGAATTATACATGTATCACTTCCAATTTTTTCTGTTCAATTTCATCCTGAATCTACGCCTGGTCCAAGGGACACTGAATTTTTGTTTGATGTATTTATTGAAAGTGTAAAGCAGTTTGGTATGACAGGAAACTTGATGCCAATACAAATGCCTGGTGGTTTGAGGAGTGATAATTCAAAAAAAAATCCACGAGTTAATGTTAGAAAAGTCTTAGTTTTGGGTAGTGGAGGATTGAGCATTGGTCAAGCCGGTGAATTTGATTATTCAGGAAGTCAAGTAAGAAGATTTTTTGTCTTAAAAATATATTGTTAGTAAATTCTGCTCTAATGGCTCGTTTTCTTTTTCGTTACAGGCTATTAAAGCTTTGAAAGAAGAAGGAATATATACAATTCTAATTAATCCAAATATTGCCACTATACAAACCTCACATTCCCTTGCAGATAAAGTTTATTTCCTCCCCGTAAATCCTGATTATGTTCTTAAAGTTATTAAACATGAAAAACCTGATGGTATTTATGTAACATTTGGTGGTCAAACCGCTTTAAATGTCGGTATCAAACTTAAAGATAAATTTGAAGAGTTGGGAGTTAAAGTATTAGGCACGCCAATAGAAACAATAATTACCACAGAAGATCGTGAATTATTCGCTCAAAAAATGTTAGAGATAAAAGAGAGATGTGCAAAGTCTGCTTCTGCTACAAATGTTCAAGAAGCTTTAGATGCTGCGCAAAAGATCGGTTATCCAGTTATATGTCGTGCCGCTTATGCACTTGGTGGTTTAAGTTCTGGATTTGCCGAGAATGAAACACAATTAGTCGAGCTCTGTACCAAGGCTTTTGCAACTAGCCCTCAAGTGCTGGTCGAACTATCTATGAAAGGTTGGAAGGAAATCGAATATGAAGTCGTTAGAGATTGTCGAGACAATTGCATAACTGTTTGTAATATGGAGGTAATCTCGAGCAAATGATTATTAAAATACTCCTGAATTATACTTTTAGATTATTTTCTGATTGAGATCGTCTTAATATATATTAAGAACTTTGATCCTCTTGGAATACATACTGGGGATTCTATTGTAGTTGCACCATCTCAAACTCTCTCTGATGATGATTACAACATGCTACGAACAACAGCAATTAATGTCATTCGTCATCTTGGAGTTATAGGAGAATGTAATATTCAATATGCTCTCAATCCCTTTTCCAAAGAATATTGTATTATAGAAGTGAATGCGCGTTTATCTCGTTCGTCCGCACTCGCATCCAAGGCTACTGGTTATCCATTAGCTTTTGTTGCTGCAAAACTTGGGTTAGGAATACCATTAAACGAAATTAATAATATGGTGACTAAAGTGACATGTGCATGTTTCGAGCCTAGTCTTGATTATGTAGTCGTTAAGATTCCACGATGGGATCTTAAAAAATTCTCACGTGTAAATAAATCTTTGAGTTCATCAATGAAATCTGTCGGTGAAGTCATGAGCATTGGTCGTACTTTTGAAGAGACCATTCAGAAAGCCATCAGGGCTATTGACTACGGGTTTTCAGGATTTGGTCAGGTTTGCAGATTTGTATTAAGGTTTAAAATTGATGATAAATACAATATAAAGGACTTATTTTTACTTGATTTTTGATGTTAATAAGAATGATCTTGTCGATTCTATCAAAGAGGAATTAATCAACCCATCTGACCAACGGCTTTTTGCCATTGCTAATGCAATGCATCAAGGCTACACTGTTGATCAAATATGGGAGCTCACAAAAATAGACAAATGGTTTTTACACAAGCTAAGAAACATAATTGAATTAGAAAAGCAGCTTAAAAAATATAATTATTCAACAATTAAACCTGATCTTGTCCTAATGGCCAAGCAGTTAGGTTTTTCCGATCGCCATATAGCAAAAATTATCAGCAGTAGTGAGTTGTCAATACGGAGGATGAGACATGAACATGGCATAATACCTTTTGTGAAGCAAATTGATACTGGTAAACGGCAATTATTTTTATTACTCTTTTAAATCTTTTTTTGAATAACAATTTATATGATTTCTCTAGTTGCTGCCGAATTTCCCGCACAAACGAACTATTTATATGTAACTTATAATGCGGTGGAGCATGATATTAATTTTGACGAAAAAGGTGTTATGGTGCTAGGATCCGGTGTTTATCGTATCGGCAGTTCGGTTGAGTTTGATTGGTGTGCTGTCCGCGCGATTCGTACACTTCGTGATCGTGGAATTAAGACAGTAATGGTTAATTATAATCCAGAAACAGTCAGTACAGATTATGATGAAGCTGACCGTTTGTATTTTGAAAATATCACTTTAGAACGTGTATTAGACATTTATGAAATTGAAAGCTCTTGTGGTGTAATAATTTCTATGGGAGGTCAAACTCCAAACAATATAGCTTTACCATTGTTTCGTCAAAATGTTAAAATACTTGGTACTTCTCCGGAAATGATTGATACTGCTGAAAATCGATATAAATTTTCTCGTATGTTGGATCAGATTGGAGTAGACCAACCGAGATGGAAAGAGTTAACGGGTCATGAAGAAGCACATGAATTCTGTAAGCAAGTCCAATTTCCAGTCTTGGTACGGCCATCATATGTACTATCAGGTGCTGCAATGAATGTAGTGTATTCCTCGGATGATCTTTCCAATTATCTTAGTCAGGCTACGGCAGTTTCTCGAGAACATCCAGTTGTAATTTCAAAATATATTGAAGAAGCTAAGGAAATTGAAATGGATGCTGTGGCTCTTGATGGTAAGCTAATAATGCACGTAATATCAGAACATGTTGAAAATGCGGGCGTACATTCGGGTGATGCAACTCTCGTCTTGCCGCCACAGGACCTTGATCCTGCTACTGTAAGAAAAATCGAACTCGCTACTCAACAGATCGCAAATGCATTAAATGTGACTGGCCCTTTTAATATTCAGTTCATTGCTAAAAACAATGATATCAAGGTTATAGAATGTAATGTTCGTGCATCAAGGTCTTTTCCATTTGTGTCCAAAGTTATGGAAGTTGATTTAATCGAGATGGCTACATTGGCTATGCTGGGAGTTCATATTGATCCGTACCCACCAATAAATTTACCAAAGAATTATGTAGCGGTTAAAGTACCACAATTCAGTTTTAGTCGTTTATCTGGTGCTGATCCTATATTGGGTGTAGAAATGGCATCTACTGGTGAAGTTGCATGTTTCGGGCGAGATAAATATGAGGCATATCTTAAGGCGTTGATATCAACAGGAATTACTATCATCATGCCTCGAAAAAACATTTTGCTTTCTATCGGTTCTTTCAAGGAAAAGAATGAAATGTTACCGTCAGTAAGAAAACTTCATGAGATGGGATACAATTTATTTGCCACATCTGGAACTGCCGATTATATTCAAGAACATGGACTTCCCGTGAAATATTTAGTATCATTGGAAGAATCTGAGCATCAGCTCAAATCCGAATATTCACTTCAGCAACATTTAGCTAATAATTTAATCGATTTATATATCAATTTACCGTCAAAAAATCGATATCGTCGGCCAGCTAGTTATATGAGTAGAGGTTATCGTACACGTAGGATGGCTGTAGACTATGATATCCCTTTAATAACGAATGTCAAATGTGCAAAATTATTTATAGAAGCGCTTTCCCGCAGAAACGATTTTGAAATTTTAAATATTGACTATAAGACGTCCCATAAAAGGGTGTCATTACCAGGTCTTATTAATGTCTCAGCATTCGTACCTCATGTCGCAGAATCTGATAATGATGATTTTGCACAAATTACTAAAGCGTCACTTGCAGCTGGATTTACCACCATAAATATATTGCCACTAGGATTCAATGAGTCTTTGAGAAATGCTACAACAATTGAAGTCGCACACAATAACAGTCGTAATAATGCGCATTGTGATTTTTCATTGTCAGTTGTTGTTACAGAGAACAATGCCCAGGAATTGATGGCTGTAGTTCCAGATGGCGCATCGTCCTTTATTACATTCAAAAACATTCAAGCCGATATGATACCTAAAATGGCCACCGTTTCTAAACATTTAGGCATTTGGCCTCCACATTCACCTATAGTCACTGATGCTAAGGGAACGGATTTGGCATCTGTTTTATTATTGGCAAGTTTACATAATCGTGCGGTGCATGTAACCGACGTAAGTACTAAGGAAGATATTGTTTTAATCGCTTTAAGCAAAGAAAAAGGTCTAAAGGTTACATGCGATGTTTCGGTATATGCCTTATGTTTGAACTCTAATGATATAAATGGTAGTACAAGTATCTTACCTAGCTTGTCTGATCAAGCGGCTTTATGGGAATATTTGGAAAGTATCGATTGTTTTAGTGTTGGAACTCTACCATATCGACTATCACAATCATCTGGATTTGATGTTTCAGCAAGTACTGGTATAGAAGAAACCTTACCTTTGTTGTTAAATGCTGTTAACGATGGAAAATTGACATTAGATGATATTACAACACGTCTTTACACTAATCCTCAAAGCATTTTCAATATACCGGAGCAACCAGATACCTATGTAGAAGTAGAAATTGATCGAAAGGTAATAATGGCTCAAAAAGAGGGTGGTTGGTCGCCATTTATTGGCAAGACATTATCGGGTGTAGTAAGTCGTGTAGTTTTAAAAAGAGACACCGTTTATCTTGATGGTGGATCATACTCTACTGGTACCTGTGGCAATGACATTTCAAGTTTGATTCATGTTATTGCGAAAACTCCAGCTATTAAAGAATCGTTCGGAAGTAAAGAATCATTGCAAGCTCAACAGCAGCCACAGCAGCAGTCATCACAGCCTGTGGCTAGTCATGTTTCGGATATTTTGTCACCTACACTTACACCGAGAGAGTTCGGTCTTAAATCAATGACTTCAGATTTGTTTTCTCTTGATTTACCACACGCGGTTTTACCGACGTGAGCTTATATTTTATATAATTTTTGCGTATTAAACTTTACTGATATTATGATTAATGTATTTTGAATTTTTAGAAATATTACATCAAATATAAATCAAACACGTTTCTTCCGACAACATATTCTCACTGCTAAAGATTTTTCACGTAACGATCTTCACTTATTATTTGGTGTGGCACACGAAATGCGTACTCTAGTTGAACGTTATGGATCAGTAAATTTACTTCAGGGTCGCGTGATGTTTACACTTTTTTATGAACCATCTACAAGGACATCTGCTTCTTTTGAAGCGGCAATGAATAGACTTGGTGGTCGAGTGGTTGCTATCAAGGCAGATTCATCTTCAGTCGCAAAGGGCGAATCATTAGCAGATACTATACGGACGGTAGGATCATATGGAGACGTTATTATTTTGAGACACCCGGAGCCTGGCAGCACTAAAACTGCTGCAAAATATTCGCCTGTTCCGATCATAAATGCAGGAGATGGTATTGGGGAACATCCTACTCAGGTATGTTTGAAACTTTGGATTTTATTTATAATATTTTTATCTTTAATAATTCCGTTATTAGGCTTTCCTCGATGTGTACACTATTCGTGAAGAACTTGGAACTGTTAATGGGTTAACTATTACAATAGTTGGTGACTTAAAAAATGGTAGAACGGTCCATAGTCTAGTTAGAGTATTATCTCAATACCAAGTTACCCTTAATTATGTTAGTCCTGCGTCATTACGCATTCCTGATGAAATCAAAACGGAAGTTCGCAAAACTAGAGGGATAAGGCAAAAAGAATATACAGACTTGGAAAGTGTAATTTCAGAGACTGACGTATTATATGTAACACGAATTCAACGTGAACGATTTACAGATCCGGTCGAGTATGAACGGGTTAAGGATTCCTTTATAATAAATAATGCTACATTGAGTCGTTCCAAACCAAACATGATTGTAATGCATCCACTTCCACGAATGAATGAAATTGACCCAGAAGTAGATTTTGACGATCGTGCTGTTTACTTCCGACAGATGAAGTATGGGATGTTTGTAAGGATGGCATTATTAGCTATGGTAAGTTGTTACTATACAGATTGCTATAATTTCCTTATATTAGTTCCAAAATTGCTTATTTATGACATTTTTTTAGATTTTGGGAAGATCAGCGTGAAGTAAGCTTTTAGATAACAAATTACATGGCTGTTAATACTTGCTTATGTGAATTTTCAAATAGAGTGACAATTAAGACTTTTCCTGATTCTCATAAAAATAATAAAGTTATACGTAAAAGTATATTTATCAACTTCACATAAATTTATTTATTGATTACGTATCGGTATTGTGGTCTTAAAGTTGGTCACCTTTAAGAAAAAAAATGAACGTGATCCGAGTAACATTGCGTTTTTTAGTTATCCCGCTCGTAAGCGGCGGGTATGAAATATCACGTGATAAATTCTGGTTTTCTGATCCCAGTCCAAGCTATTTCTGTATTTACGTACGCACGCACGCTCTTGCAATCAACTATTTAAAGTTATCAGATAATCGTGGCTCGCGAGAGACACGTGACGAAGATCTTCAATCCATACAAGTGCATCGAATTTTACATTACTACGAGGACGATTCTAAAAAAAAAATGACAGCACCATTGTTTTCTTCAACCAATCCAACTAAATGTAATTGTAAATATGTTCCAGGTAGCTTTGAAATTTCTTTTTTATATTCTGGAATTTTCATTGATTTAAAATTAAAAGTTTCTTAAAATGTATTTTTGACAGGCGTGGACCATATTAATAAGGCATGTGGCATCAGCTCTAATTGCGTCAACAGGACTAGATTTATTGAATGTACACCAGAGCTTTGCTCATATGGCTCTTACTGTCAAAACCGATGGTAAGGTCATCAGTAAAAAGCACACACTATTTTAGCTCAAAGTAACAAATTTTTACTCAAAAATATTTATATTATAATAAGCATTCAAAATCATATGAATGCCTTATTTGACATTATCAGAGCACCTAACAAATATTTTGGATTGAAGTCATTAAAGTTGATAGAAAAGTATGTTTTGTTCTTATATGCTGTATATTATAAATTTATATCTCAATGTTCTTTATCTATGTTGAGTAGAGGATCTTTTATTGTAGAACCAATTGAAACTCCCGTAGAAATAAATAATTTAGAATTCCACATGGATAAATACATGAGTGAAGGATTGTGGAGGACCTATTTTCCACCGTCTGATACAAGCGAGGTAGGATTCTATAATTATATTTAGTAAACATTTATATTTAATTAAAAAGTGCAATTATTTTCATTATAGATAAACAATGCGGCAAAAAAAGGAAGACTTTCTCGCTTCATTGCGCATTCCCGTGATCCCAATTGTCATAAACAAGAATGGCTAGTAGGAAATCAAACTAGGACTGGTATATTTGCTAGTCGTGATATTTCAGATGGTGATGAATTAACAATTGATTATACCGAACCATCAATAGGGTATTAAAGATTTTATATATAATTCATTATTAGCAAAAAATTTTGATGGATTAGTAATACGAAAATATATTTTTAGGTATGGAATTCCATGTAAAATTAAAGAGCAAAATGGTGCAAATATGGCCCCCGAGGAAGTTCATCCACTTGAAGATAATCAAGGAATCTTTAATTACATTGGACGTATGTTACAAGCTGTCTACAGGCCAGATTTGGCAACTCAAGTGCTCCGTAGTTTAGAAGTAATATTAAGCTTTGTTTGTTGTCAGTTTTTTTCCTATAATTTTAATTATTCTACCTATTTAAGATAACTACAGATGAAAATATTTTGAGAAAATTTTTAAAACTCGATGGATTAAAGATATTGAGTTTGTGGTTTAATGAGCATACTGAGCCTAAACTTATAGAACGGGTTTGTATATATATATATATATATTGGCTTATATTAAGTTATTATCTTATTAGCACTAATCATTAATTCGATTATAGATAATTTCGGTTTTGGAAACATTGCCATTACAATGCAATGATCTTGATATCATGACTGAGGTCAAGGGAAGTCTCCAAATGATAAATATAAATGATGATGCACTTCATGATCGTATTACAAAGGTACTAAATAATTATAATATACTAATCAAGTCACGACAAATATATTTAATACATATATCTATTCTAATAGTTGTTAAAAAAATGGCGTGAACTTCATGTTCCGTCCAAGGGCACCATTACCAATAGTTCTTTTATACAAAATTCAATTTCATATGATCGAGATAAACAAACAAGCCCAAAAAATTCGAAGGCATAGTTTTTTTTTGTTTCCTTTTAGGTGAATGAGATATTTTTGCAAAAATTTGATGAGACCTTTACATATTAGGATAACATTTTGGATAGGGACAAAGGACACTCATCGAAAAAGAGTGATAAAATGAAAGTAATATTATTTTATCATAAACGCTATTCTTGTTCGTTCAATTTATACCGTATAAACAGGCATTGTTCGTTAATATTTAGACAATGGAAATATGTTCTGAAAAGAAACCAAAAACACCTGATTCTAGTAGTGCACTTGGATCCGCACCTATATTATCTGCGAGTACATCTTCCTTACAACCAAGCAACGAAGAGCCTGGTTCTTCACATATTGCTAGTGCTAAAGTAATAGTTAATGATGTCGAATCAGTTACTGACATATTGATACAGCCATCATCTTCAGTTACTGCTTCTGACGAAGGTTCGTCCACTCACACATTTGATAAAGATAAATTCCGTGGTGAGGTAAGTATAGGTGGTTCGTTGAATGTTGCGAATGTCGTTGAATGTTAGATTTGACATAATTTACCTTAAAATGATAATTAAAGAGTTACCATATATTGAATCAAAACATAATTTTATAGTTTGCAGCTGCAGTAGTTGAATACTCTGAACGATTCAAAAGTCAAATTGAGGAACGCACTTTAAACAAACATGTAAATAAGGTAATTTATTATTTTATATTTAAATAATATATATATTTTTATTCGATTTGAACTATTTTAACTAAATTTATTGTCTATAGTGCATTGAACTCTGCTTTGGCAAAGAAATGCGCTTAGCAGAAGTGGGAATAGTTACATCAAGTGTTCGTAATCGAATCGCAAAGTTTTTGGATGAATATATGAAAAAATTGATCATTTCGATTAAGGGAGTAAAAAACGATAAGGAAAAGAAAGAAAAGGGAAAAAAGAAAAGGAAAGAAAGAGATGAAACTGGGGACAATTACAGTAGTAAAAAAGTTAAAATATGACTAATTGTTGTTACTCTTTCTTAATGCCCACTATTAGAAAATTGCTTTATTATAATTGATAATTTTTACTTGTAGATTGTATTTATAATCGAACAATGATTAGTGATTGAATTTATTGTTTAGAACAAAAAAAATTGTAATAGGCATATATACATTCACCGAATATTTTATAGAATCATTGAATAAGTAGATCATCTGATCGAACGATAAATATAGTTATATAATTATATAAAATTTGTATTTTAATAAATTTGTTCAGGCTTATTTTCTGTTTAAATAAAATCTGTATATAAAGCTTTAAAGTTTTTGATAATGATACGTAGTGAAAATATTTTATAATACGTACAGGCCTGATTAACGTTAACCGATTGATCTTCCCATCAAAAAACGTCACTGTCATGTGAACGTAGAATGTTAGGAATTTTGAATTGACACGTTACACCAAACTGTGATTGATTATTGGCTAATTGATGTCGATCGACACGTGTCGGTGACAGTTTAACCGATTGGAATTTTCGTTATACAAGCTTGTATACGTATTAAAAACCGATTAATGAGTAAGTTAATAATATTACTTACTTCGGATACTGTGTTATAAAGTGGATAATTGTGAGAACTTTATTACAACTTAAACCTGAATTAAAATTACGAAATTTTGGATTTGATATTGTGTTCAGAATAAGTATCTGCTGGGAAAATGAGCCAAATTAACAAATAATAAGTTTTGTGGAAAATTAATTTTTACATTATAAAATCCATATTAAATCTTAAACTTTAAAAAAAGTTATACTGTAATAAAGTTCCGATCTATTATCCGTTTATCCATTTATCTATCGGATATTGATATCCGGATAAATTCAGATATGGATAAATGGATGACGGATTTATTAATAAATAGGATTTATTTCTTAAGTGAAAAATGCTCCTGAGTTAATTTTGAATTGGTTAGGCTCAAAAATAAATGGTTTTTTTTAAAACAAATTGTTAATAGCTTCAACACAAGTTGAAGTATTTCGGTCACGTGTATAAATGTTCAAGGAAAATCAGACTTCGGCTTTAGCTTTTAAGCCGGTAAGTTATAAATCTAAATGTTCCTGAGATTTTCTTCGTATCAATTAAATAAATTTTAGACGCAAATTTTTTATTTTAACCTTACATTTCTAATTCTGATTAATGATTTGAACCGAAAAAAATATCCTCAATCGGTTAACCGAACCGAATTATTTTATGTCAGCCGATTACACAACCGGTTGAGATTAATAATCTCTACTTCTCACTCTTACCTCTGAAATTTTCGGTGCTTCGCTCAAATTTTTGATTCAACCTTGCTCGTCTCTCATGTTCATTCAATTCCTTTTCGGAATCTTCTCTCTCTTAGTCATTTACATACTTTATCGATTCTACCAACTGGTTACCCGATTCTCGACTGGTTGTACCGGGTCAAGCGATTAAGAATTTGCTCAACCGGTTATCCGAAATTTATTCGGGTCGGTTCGGTTAACGATTATAGCCCAACCGGTTCAAATCATTAATTCTGATACATACTAATTTACAATACATATAATATCGATAAGTAATCGAGCATCCTCGTATGTAGGGATGCTAAGTGGTGCGTCTGGTCTGGTCCGGTCCCAGTCCTTAAAAAGTCCAGTCCTGAACTAGTTAAGAACGAGTTCACCTCCTGTTAAAAAGTAGTCACACCTCGTTTAATACAAATTTATAATACTATTTATTACAGACTTTATCACATTACATAGTGTAACAAACAAAAAACACATGTACATAGCAATAGAATACTAATTTAAAAGCTCAAGATTTTTTACTATTTCTGCATCATACCACGTTTTTAGACATAGACTTGCACAAACCTTTTCATCATTCAAACAGTTTTATTTGTATACTTTGCAAGTGAAAAGGCCTGTTTGCTCAGAACACTAGTTGCCTAAGCAATCAGGTAATTTCAAGCCATTTTAACAAGAGGTGTTTACTTTAAATTAAAAGATTTCAATTTCCAAAATACGAGAGTATCTATATTTTTATCAGGCATATTTAAATATTTATTTAATACATTACAACTAACTGACATATCATTATAAGTTCATTTTAACTAATTTCAAAAGTAATTGTAAGTAGAATCGAACTAATTCAATTCTAGAACTTGCATAATTGTTTCTTTATTAGAGAGTGTATAATTTTTATAAGTTTTATTAACTATTTGATATATGTTATCTGTTTTAGAAATAGAATGAAAAGTTGAAAATTTTGATGACAGATTAAGTAATATCATTTCTAGAAAAAAAAATTGTAATTCATCTCAATATTTATTAAGTTTTTCAAGAATTTTTTCTGCAATATGTAACTTTATTGAATTTGATTCATTTTTAGTTTTAGTAAAATGTGTAATAATTACAAAAAAAAATATACACATATTTTCAATAGTTGAATATGTTAAAGAAGAAAGTAATTTGGTAGTCTTATAAATAGGTTTTAACAACATCATTATAGTTTCAAGATTATTTCAATCTTGATCTGTTATATATTATTGTTTAAGGTATGGTATTAAAATAACTAATATGTCTGTCATTTCTTTTATTTTATATAGTTTATTTAACATTAAATATAGAAAATTTTATCTAGTTTCATAATCAAGCCCAGGTATTAAAAACAGTCAACTTTTTATTACAAAGATTTTCTTTAATTCTTCTAAGCAGAATTGGGAATGATGAATGTAACTTGTGAATTCATATGCTTTTTTTTTATTTATTATTGAAAGGTCATTAACAACTACAAGGTTTAGTATATAGGTAGTGCATCACAATTTACAAAAAGCAGTATTATTATAATAGTATTCTAACATATAACTAAAATGTTGATTGCAAGCATTTATATTGCTAGCATTGTTAGTAATCATTGATAAGATTTTTCTTTCTAGGTCAAACTCTTCAATTATTTTAAAGATCATGTTAGCCAAAAAACTATCTGTATGACATTTATGTAAGGGAATAAAGTTCAAAAGTATATAGTACAATTATCATTCATCATCAATTCAATGCAAAGTTATTGTAAGAAATGCTTGGTTCATATAAACAGACCATGCATTAGTTATAATTGCTACTTTATGCCTAAAACTTTTAAAAAAAATTCATAATTTTTTATGTTCTTTTTCATACAACTACTAGACATATACTAAAGTTGTTTGTCTAGTAGGAAGCCTATAATGAAGGTCAAGTTTAAAAACAAATATTTAGAAGTCTTCATCTTCAATCACACAAAATGGTTATTAGTTGCAGATTATCTATCATAACAAAAGTTTATTTAATTTTTTAACTTTTTTTTTATCATGAGTACTGTAATAATCTACAATTTATAAAGCTAAGAATTGAAATACTTGATTGTATTTAGATTTATTGTTAGTTTCAAAGTATCATTTGATTATACTTATGTTAGTTCTATGTCTATATTCAGTATTGCATAAGCTACAAATAATGGACTTTTTATTCTCAGATTAAGAAAAATATTTTCAAAGGGAATATGAATTTTTATATCATTTAAAAGATGGCTTATTCGATCCATCAGTATTTATTTCAGTATTAAAATCACTATTCAATTTGATTGTATACATATCAAAGGTTTGTATAGAATCTTTTAAATTGTTAAAATTATTATTTTCAGAATTATTTATGAACATAATACTACTAATAAAACTTTAAGAGAATTAAAAATTTTAAATAGTGCTTTTTATACCTATATCAAAAAACCAAATTATAACTAAACAAACACATTTTAGCAAAAACAAAACAATTGTTAACAAAAAAAAAAAATTCAGGTTGGGGCATTTGTGTTTGATGCAATTGTATTACAGTTTATTAAAATGTTAAAAAAAACATAGCAGAAAAGAATAATTAAAAAAATTCAGACTAATAAAATTATAGTCTGATGTAATTATATTGTGATTATTCAGAATATTATATATTTGTTCAATTTTATAATGATAGCAATAACTAATATTATTTGTTTTGCTGGCATTACTGTATGCATATTTATTAATAATAAATGAATGTTTATGTACATCCTTTTACATCCAACTTTATCATTATTGTTATTAAAAAACAAACAATCATTATTAAATAAAGGCAGAGAAATCTGTACTAAAAACTTTATATAGTTTGATGTGATTACACAATGATCTTGATAAAAATATCAATCAAAAAACAGAAAAAATACTGTAATTAAAGCTACCAATACTTATTAATAATATAAAGTTATGATCATGTGTCAAACAATTATTAACCAAAAATCAGAAAGAAACTGTAATAAAAACTATTAATACTTATTAATAATATTACTTTTAGCAATTATTAATCAAAAGGCATAAAGAAAACTATCAGTACTTACTAATTAAATCCACCAATTGGGTATACTTTATTAATTATTCAATTAGCAAATTTTAAAGCAAGCATGTGATAAAGTATATTATATAATATAAGAACTAGTTTTTGGAATGGTTTTGAACTGTTCTAAAAAAGTCCAGTTCAGACCCAGTCTGAACCTATTCCTTGTAGACTATTTAACATCTCTACTTGTATGAGAAAAGCAATGCAAACCAATAATATGTAATTTACATTACACAATTTTGATTGTATAGCAAAAATTAATCAGATGCATAACATAAATCAAACTAAATTTTAAGAGAAATGCTACAGATACAGCAACATGTGATCTAATCTCTTAATTTTGCCATATTCTAATACTAACTTTAATAATAATACTGGCTATGCAGTATCATTAATGTTAGTGCTAGTCATTAGCTATGTTAATAAGGCTGTGTCTATAGTTTTTCCTAATTTTAATTAGGTGTAACTTACATGTTTTTGAATCTACTAGGGTAATCATTTTTTTTTTAGGTTATGTAATGATTAACAACAAATTAGTTAATAATAAACCATAATTTGCTATAATGTCAGTCTTTATGTTCTAACAA